CTTGGGGACCAGCCCGGTGGTGTAGTGGTTAAGTGCGTGTGCTCTGCTTAGGTGGCTGGGGTTCGCAGGTTGGTATCCTGGGCGTGCACTGATGCACCGCTTGTCAAGCCATGCTGTGGCGGCGTCCCATATAAAGTAGAGGAAGATGGGCACAGATGTTAGCTCAGGGCTAATCTTCCTCACAAATACAAAGTCTTTTGATTAATGAAAGCTTTTAACTTTTGCGTAGTCCAATTTGTTGATCCTTACTATTAATGTTAATACTTTGTTGTGTTTCACTTAGTTCTGCAATTCTTGGAACTGATATTTTGTATATGATATGAGGTACTGTTCAAGATTTATTTTTCCCCATATGGACATCCAGCTGACTCAGCGTAGTTTATTGAAACCACTACTCCTTCTCCACTGCTCTGCAGCAATACTTAAAAAATGCTGTGCACACATGTAAAGATACTTTTCTGGCCCTTTGTTCTGGCCTATCCTTTGCCAAAATTATACTTAATTACTTAATGACAAGCCTTGCTATCTGATAGAACAGGTTTTACCTCCTCCTCCTTCAAGAGTGTTTCATCAGATGTATGGTTTGCAAATATCTTCTGCCAATTGTTAGGTTGTCTGTTCGTTTTGTTGATGGTTTGCTTTGCTGTGCAGAAGCTTTTTAGTTTGATGTAGTCCCATTTGTTTATTTTTTCGATTGTTTCTCTTGCCCAGTCAGACATGGTGCTTGAAAATATGTTGCTAAGACCGATGTCGAAGAGCGTGCTGCCTATGTTTTCTTCTAGAAGTTTCATAGTTTCAGGTCTTACATTCAACTCTTTAATCCATGGTATATATACACAATGGAATACTACTCAGCCATAAGAAACGATGAAATCCAGCCATTTGTGACAACATGGATGGACATTTCGGGTATTATGCAAAGCGAAATAAGTCAGAGGGAGAAGGCCAAATACTGTATGATTTCCTTCATTAAGTAGTAGATAATAACAACAATAAACAAACACATAGAGACAGAGATTGGATTGGTGGTTACCAGAGGGGAAGGGGGGAGGGGGGAGGACGAAAGGGATAATTCGGCACATGTGTGTGGTGATGGGTTGTAATTAGTATTTTGGTGGTGAACATGATGTAATCTATGCAGAAATAGAAGTATAATGATGTACACCTGAAATTTACACAATGTTATAAACCAATGTTACTGCAATAAATAAAAAATTAAAAAAAAAAAGAGTGTTTTAGCTATTCTTGGCTCTCTGCTATTTCATATAAATTTTGAATCAGTGGGTCAATTTTTTGAAAAACAATTGAGTTTTCAATAGAAATTGCGGTGATCAATTTTGAGAGAATTGACATCTTTACAATATTGAGTCTTCCAAACCATAAATAAAATATATTCCTCCATTTATGTAGGTGTTCTTAATTTCTCTATATTATGTTTGATCTTTTCTATGCAGAAGCTAGCACATCTTTCATTTTCAATGGGTATGTGATGCTTTTTGATACTCTTTTAAATCATATATTTAAAATTTTTTCATTTTCTAACTGTGTTGCTAGTATATAAAAAAAATTTGATTTTTTTATATTGATGTTGCATTCAGCAATCTTGCTAAACTCCTTTTTCAATTCTTATGGTGTATGTGTCAATTCCTTTGTGAATGATAATTTTATTTTTTCATTTTGAATATTGAACCTTTTAATTAGTTAACTAACTAATTAATCAATTGCTTTGTTGCACCTGCTAGGATCTCTGGTTCAATTGTGAGTGGAAGCAGTGACAGTGGACATACTTGTTTTATTTTTGATCACAAAGATAAAACTGGTTTTCTATCTCTCTCTTTCTCCATTTCTGCCTTTAAACTCTGTTGAAGGATATGTAAGATGAGCATGTTCTCTGCTCAATATGCAAAGATGACAACTCCCCCCACTTTAATGTATTAATTCAAAAAGTCCCAAAATAACCCCCAGAGAATTTTTCACAGGCCTTGATAAACCGATTAAAAAATTTACCTAAAGGATAATACATACAAGAATTGCCGAAGAATTTTTGGAAAGCAAAAACAGTGAGAGGGCTTGGGCTAGATATTAACACACAGTTGTCGTAGGTCAGGTACCTTAGAAGCAGAGCGGAAGACAGAGTTTCTTATTCAGGTAATTTGTTGGGTAGAGGAGAGGGGAGGGCTTCTTTGAGAGAAGCAGGACAGAGCAAGGCAAACATGTTAATCTGTGGTCTCAGCTAGCGATTGGCTTCAGTCTGATCCTATGGGGGGAGCTCTGGAGGACAAATGGCACTAGAAAGCTAGTCTTATTTTGATGACAAGGGGGTCAGCCTGTCCTTTCGTACTCTTATGCCAGTGAGTCACACCTGAGGTGCGCCCTGGGTGGGGGTGGGGTGCTGCCTAGCTTCCCAGGCCGGTGGCTGTCATTCAGCTGAGAGTCGTTTGACTGAGAAAAGGGCAGCTGTGAATTATCAGCCAAAACAGCAACTGGGTGATAGGAGCACTGGCTGGGACAGGGAATCTGGTTGGGACCTCAGTAGCATCCATTGCAACATGATAAACTTGGAGAAGAAAAATGTTACCAGCCAGTGTCAGTAACAGACACACAGAAGTTATGCCAAAACTTGGGATGGGGTGGGGAACCCATTAGTACTCTGGTTCAGGGCTTAATTATTTCCTCTCCTCACTCAAACCATAGGAACCATTTTTATAGTTTCTAATCATCAACATATTTTATACTTTTGGGATAGTTTTTATCCTGGAAGGAAGAGACTGATAAAATAGAAGAATGGGGAGAGGTCCAATAATTGGAGATTATGATGACATTGAAAATTAGGTTTAGCGAGAATAAGGATGAGAATCTGTAATCAGAGGGAGGAATTGTGGTGTCCAGTAATTTACAGCAGGAGCAGTTCCTGGTGATGACAACACCCAGTGCATGACCATGCGTGTGGGCTACGAGAGGAGAGGGATAGTGGGGGTCAGACGCCACCGACATGGTCTGTGACGTCCAGAGGGGTCGTAGCTGTAGGGTGGATGGGAAGACTGTGTGCCAAGTACCAGGGGGACCTCTGGTTGGGCAAAGGGTGCCACAGAAAGACGGGGTAAATCTCCAAAGAGAACATTGAAGATGATTGAAGGAAGACAGGCTTGGAAGAAGCAAGAGCAGGAGAGCCTCTAGGAATGGGGACCTTGCTTCCTGATCCCAAGATATGAGTGGTTGTTCCCAGTGAAGACTTTCTGGGATGTGGGTCCTCAGAGGAAAGCCCGGTCTCCTCGTGAAAGCAGGGTGGTAGAGAAAGTGCTTAGGAAAAAGCAGAGGGCATATGGAAATAACTGGGCAATAAACAGGGAGTCTAGGGCCTCAGACAAAGGCATTAGAAGACGTAAACTGATAGGAATGTTAAAACATAGAGCATTATTGCCAACTCAAAGATTTCACACCATTTAAAGAACTAACATTTTCATTTCATTGTCATCCAAGGTTAACTCCATAACCAGGTGCTAATTCTTTCTAAACCTTGGTTAGTTTGCATATTTCTCAATGACAATTAGAAAGCAAAGTTAAATACTGCTTTGAGTTTGCTTAAAGACCTATAATCAAAATATTAAAAAGAAGCAAATTGTGAGTGTTGAGATTGTTGCGTACATCACCCACGCCCTTAGAAGCAGCACACTGAGGTGATTTTCTAGGCAGACATGACAGGTGAGAGAACAGAGTGGGATGCCCTTCTACCTGTTTGGATTTGCCGTTTGGCAACAATGATGAATCTTTACACCTTTTACCAGGGACGAAAGGTGAGAATAATCTAACTGCTGTTTCTTTTAATGAATTAGTAGAACCAGTAGGGATGTGCCCAGATTGACAGGAAAAACTGGAATTTGGAGGTATAATTTCCTATTGAGTTTCTTTTTTTTAAGTAGTGTCGTTTTCCTAAAATCAGTGAGCTTGTTGGATGTTTATGAATAATTGGTGCTTAGCCCAGTGTCTGGAACATAGAAGACTCTCAACAAATGTTTATTGAATGAAGTAAAATGAGAGATTTCATGATTAACAGGCAGAATACTTGAGAACAAGAGTGGTGTGTGTGTATGTGTGTGTGTTTAGCTGCCTGCCCGAACTTTTCTCACTACTTTTTCTCGTTCTTTTCCAGCAAGATAGTATTCTTCCATTTTCTTCTTTCATTCAACACCCCAAAATAATGCACCTGCGAAGTTAACTTTGTTACAGAGACTGTTCTTGTCAGGACACAGCTCTGCACATCTGTGGTAAGTAAAGTATGCATTATTTCAGATCATCGTCAGGCTATAAACCAGTGGTTCCCAGCCTTGGCTGCACGTCATAATCAACAGGGTTGATAAATATTGTGATGCCTGGATCACACCCCAGAGTTGCTGACTCAGTTGTCTGGGTTGGGGCTTGGGCACAGGTATTTTTTTTTAAAGTTCCCCAGGAGATTTTAATGTGCATCCAAGGCTGAGAACTAGTGCTCTAAACAATTCTTACCAGAGGATCCCTGATACCATTAGGGATGAAGTTCTCCCTCAGAATCTCTCCCCTTGGGACATAATTCATTTAACTTGGCCATTCTGATGCTGCCCTTTGGTCCTGGGGCTACTGCTTTTAGTCTTATTTTGCTGTCTGGTTAATTTAAATCTCTTTATGCTTGGGCCGCAAATGGATTTCTAAGGGATTTTCGAGAAGGTAGAATTTAAATTCTATTCCTCTACGTCTAAGATGCATACTTTTTTAGCTACAGTTCACAACACAATTGCTGGCAACTTCAATTGCATCATTTCATGGCCATAAATCAAAGAAATAGGAAATTCAATGCACAGTTTTTCATGAACTTTGCCTGCTAATTTCATTAGGGAAATCACCATTGAGAAACCAAAGTTTGTTTCACGGGAAATGCAAATGATAATGACTAGGGAGAGGCAGAGACAGAGCTATAAATTAAAGATCTCAACTACTCATTTTACACATGCTTTCTGCTTCCTTGCCCTGCCGCCTCTGTCTCTCCAAAAGCCAGGTAAGTTCTTCCTTCAGCTCCAACTTAAGACTTCAGTGTTCTGAGAACACCGCTGTTGGTTGATTTGAAAGTGCTTTTATTGTGCGTAACTTTCCTTGGGGTGGTTTTTTTTAATCCAGTGCCTACGTGGCCATGATAATGTGTCTTCTTCATCTTGTTTGAAGTAAGTTAATTCATTTTATCTGTGAGTTAAACTGCAAAGAATCATTGCAAGGAAACCCAGAGTTGAAATGGGAGTTTTAATAGCAGATGTGACATGCCTTAGTAAGAATGGGTCTTTGATAGCAAAAACCCCTCAAAGTATGTAGGCTTTCAAAAATTTTTATTTCGCATTAATCTCATTCTTGTTTGAGGATTTTTCTTAAAGCCTTTATTAACTAGTTGTAACATAGCTGATGTTGAAGAAAATATAAAATGTGTTCTATTTGTTTATTTTTGGTAAATATTAATTGCTCTTTCAAAATTATTTTTTGTGAAATGAAAAAAGTAATATGAACTCTCTGTACAAGCCTGAAACAATATAGAAAAGTATAAAAAAGAAATGCTTTCACTCCTACTTACTAATCCATAGCCTGAGATACGTCATTGCCCTTTAGCGAAAATTCAGCCCAGGGTGAGGTTTTCATGCAGTTAGGAATTGGGGTATAAGAGAATTAATCTGTTTTACCACTCTCTGCACTGGATTTGAATCAATTGAGAAATAGAAAATATCAGAGAAAAATGTGAGTATTGGCTTCGCTATTGTGAAGGCTAGATGGGAGAACACTGCTCGGATCTGAGGCCAATAGGCATTCCTAGCCTGCCTCTTGGCTGGTCATTCTCCCAGCAGCTGGACAAGCCGGATATCGCAGGGCAAGGGCTGGGCCTGCCTGGGGGAGCTTATAGCAGGGAGGAGGCGGCGGGCAGGCAGATGCAGGCAGGTTCTGACAGTGAGCAAGAGAGAAGAAAACCATTTGAGGCATTAACCCTGTTCACCAGGGAAATGAGAACTGAGAACCACTGGATGATGTCGGACTGGTTGCTGTTTCTGTCAAAAGAGGGTCAAGAGAAGGGGTAAGAAGGAGGCATCAGTGACCTTTCACGAACAGGGTGAAAGATCCCTAGTTTCTGGATCACTGCAGGAAGAGGAGGAGAAGCAGGAAGGGTTCCTGTGAATAAAGCAGTTCAAGTACGCGACAAATGCTTATTCGGTTTTGATTGTTGTTGCTGGTCTAGGGCTCTCTAGAATCATCATGGATTTGCTTGGTGCAGCAACCATCCAGTTTGGCTTTGATCTTTTCAAAGAGTTGAATAAATCAAAGGATGGCAACATCTTCTTTTCCCCTGCGGGCATCTCAACTGCCATCGGCATGCTCCCCCTAGGGGCCCGAGGAGCCACCGTGGCCCAGCTACAGAAGGTAGGGTGGCCTTCCATTGCTTTCCAGGCACAAACTCGTCTCTGGGGGCAGCCGTGTAGCCTTGCCTTGAAAATATGCTCCTCTTGACCTGTGGGCCAGGAAACAGAGAAAGCATATGAAGACACAAAGCAATTTCAGGTCTGTCAGGGAAGTCCTCTTCCCTTTCCAAATACTGCCTTGCCATCTGCTCCCTGGTGCTTGAAATTGCTATGAGCAGGGTCTGGGTGAAATGGCCTTCTCCAAAGCCATCAACCTCCTCATTAAATATGGAGCATGGAAAACAAAACCTACTGGGAGAAGTTGCATAATCGCCAGTAGGGTATAAATGACACATCAAAGATGAGTACATGAATGGGTAAACCAATGTAGGCTCCTCTGAAGAAATCAGTGGGCAACCCAGACATTTTCATGATTTTGCAGGGAAAGAATGGTTACCTATACACCATTGAGGTTTCTTTAACCATTATCTACTTTCCTCTGACTGATAGAGTGTGAGGTTTTCTCTGCTCTGATCACTGCCATAGTATTTTCTGTCCCTTCCAGGTGCTTTGCTCTGAAAAAGACACAGAAAGCTCAAGAATCATAGCTGAAAAAAAGAGGTGGGAGACATGTCTTAGAATCTTTGGTATGGTTGCTTTGTAGAAGTGGGCTCACTGGGGAAATGTGTAGAAGAGGTAGTACTTCATACTTATTTTTAAGCAATCACTGCATCCAAATAATGTTGGTAGGATTATACAATAATAATAAATCCTTAATGTTAAGGAGAGACCTTAACTTTAATGCACACTAACCACTATGATATATGCTGGTAAAGGCTAATAGACTGACATGTCCCTATAGAGAGTAGATGGGTTTTGAAATTAGACAGATTTGGCTTCAAATCCTGGCTCAGTCACTGAATGGCTATGCTACTTTGGGCAAGTTACTCACCTTCTTTGAGCCTTTGTAAAGTGTCCAGTAGAGTGTCTAGAACACACTGGTAACTCAATCAGTAGTGGATATGGTAGTTGTAGGTGGTATTATTACTACATTTCGTTTTTATTTTAAGCCCCCCCCGTGGATGTTTTACTTTAAAAAAATATTAGTACAGGACCACTGACTTCCTGGGGTCTCTTCCAGCTCTAGGGTTATAGTATTCCTCACCCAAAGGATGGTCTGTGCAAACATGGGAACGGGATCAAGTCCATAGGTCAGGACTGGCATCCAAAGATGGTTAGAGCTCTCAGGAAGGGCACATCTGCCCTGATAGTAGTCATAGCCCAGTCCCAGGCCCTCATTAAGTCCTGGCTCAAATCACCCAGCAATATGAGCTGTTTGTTTCACAATCCCACAAGGCCAGGTTGTCTGGGTGGCTCAGGTGCATATATGGAGAGCCAGGCTTCCTTCTAGAGTTTTTACAACAGAGTTGGGTCAGATAGCTGCTCATCTGTCCACTCAATCAAGGAGCACAGCTGTTTTCAGAGCACTTTTCCTTCCAAGCATGGAAGCCCATATAGAATCTTTGTGCAAATTAGAAAAAGGCACACCCCCTCAGACAGATGCCCCAATCTTGGGTGAAATGCTTGGTGATTGAGGTGAGGGTTGAATTTCAGCTTTGTGCTGGGTACAATCTGTATAACTCTGTGTATCAGCTCTGTGCATTCCCCAATATTTTTCTGCGAGTCACAGAGGTACGAAGAAGATTAGAATTCTTTCTTTTTTCCCTCGCTCCCTCCCTTCCTTCCTTCCTGAAATGACCTTCTTATACAAGCCTTGTAGTTTACCTGGATAAGAGTATCTCTAGTGCTGAGCTATCAAATATAGTAGCCATTCAAGTGGCTATAGGGTGCTTGAAATGTATCTTGTTCAAATTGAGATGTGCCGCGGGGCTGGTCTGGTGGTGTAGTGGTTAAATTCCCGTGTTTGGCTTTGGCGGTCCGGGGTTCGCCGGTTCAGATCCCGGGTGTGGACTTATTCACCGCTCATCAAGCCATGCCAAGGCGTCCCCACACAGAAGAACTAGAAGGACCTACAACTAGGGTATATAACTATGTACTGGGGCTTTGGGGAGAAAAAAAGAAAAAAGAGGAACATTGGCAACAGATGTTAGCTCAGGACCAATCTTCCTCAAAACAAAAACAAAAACAAAAACAAACCTGTGTACTTAAAAAAAAAAAAATTGAGACGTGCCGTAAGTGTAAAGCATACACTGAATTCAAGAACTTAGTATGAGAAAAGAATGTTAAAGGAAAACCATGTTTCTACTCACAACTCTCTGACACCAAATGTGTGGGTTTTTTCCTCACATTAAACAATTATGACACTAACTACCTGAGTTAGCACAGACCCCACAGGTGAAGAGCTGAGTCACACAAGACTTTCCCCACTTCAGACGCCAGTCACAAGTGGTGGCTTCCCAGATTACCCACACTTCTGTCTGATTTGGCTGCAAATTGGAGGTTCCTGTGACACCCCTCCTCAAGTTCAAGAATTTGCTATAATGCCTTACAGAACTCAAGGAAACATTTGACTTTTGTTTACTGGTTTATTATAAAGGATGAAAATGAACAGCCAGACGAAGGGGTGCACGGGGTGAGGTCTGAAAATGTCCTGAGTGCAAGAGCTTCTGTCCCTGTGGAGTTTGGTGTGCACCACCCTCACAGCACATGGATGTGTTCACCAACCTGGAGGCTCTCCAAACCTTGTAGTTTAGGGATTTTTATGGAAGTTTCATCACGTAGGCATGATTGATTATTAACTCAATCTCCAGCCCCTCTCCCTTCCTTGGAGGATAGGGATGGGGCTGAAAGTTCCAAGCTTCTAATAATGGTTTGGTCTTTCTGGTGACCAGCTCCTATCTCAAAGCTATTCAGGAGCCCACCAAGAGTTGCTTCATTAGAACAAAAGGTCCTCCTATGACCCAGGAAATTCCAAGGGATTTAGGAGCTTGGTGTCAGGAACTGGGGTCAAAAATCAAATATTAAAACAAAAGATGTTCCTAGTACCCCTGTCACTCAGGAAATTACGAGAGTTTTAGGAGCTCTGTGTCAGGAACTGGTGACAGAGACCAAATGTATATTTTTATTATGTCACAAATGTAAAATATCTCAATTTTTATATGTAAATTTTGTTGAAATAATATATAATACTTATATTTTGATATATAATTATTATAGTTATATATTGAAATGATGATGTTCTAGATATATTTAGTTTGATAAAATGTAATATTAAACTTGATATCATCTATTTCTTTTTACTTTTAATCATGTAGTTACTAGAAAATTTAAGATTATACATGGAGCTCACAATTGTGGCTCACATTATATTTCAATGGGACAATGCTGGTCTATAGTATACACCTGGGAGGTAGGGTGTATGCATGTTCAACTTTATTGACTATTACCAAATTGTTTGCCAAAGGGATTATACCAATATCTATTCCTCTCAGTAGTGTGTACAGGCCCATTTCATACAGTTGTGCAGAGAAAGTGGGACCTGAAATCCTACCCACCTTGCAATCCCCAGTCATCCGTATTCATACATACATACATATATATGTGTATTTTTTCTGTATCTATTGGTGATCGTATTTTTTTTCTCTGTTAATGAAGTGAATTACATTAACAGAATTTCTAATGTTAAGCCATTTTTGTATTTGTGGGATAATCAACTTGGTCATGATTTAAAAAAAATTACACATTGTTGAATTGGATTTGGTAATATTTTGTCAGGGGTTTTAAAAAATCTGTGTTATAAACCAGATCAATCTGTAATATTTTTTCTTGTCCTATTCTTGTCTAGTTTTGGTATCAAAGTATCCTTAAACTCCTAGGATGAGTTGGGGAATGTTTCCTTTTTTATTATTCTCTGGAAGAGTTTGTATAAATTCAGAAGCACACCTGATATTCTGGACAGAATTTGGATTTAAAACTGCCAGCGTGGTGATTGGTGATTAATTGATTTCTAATTTCTGTTTCTATGATGTTGATTACTTTCGATATTTCATGTAAGTGGAATCACACGCTATCTGTTCTTTTGTGACTGGCTTATTTTGTTTACCATAATGTCCTTGAGATTTGTCCATGTTGAGGCATGTAACAAGATTTCCTTCTTTTTAAAGGCTGCATAATATTCCATTGTATGTACGTACCACATTTTCTTTATCCCTTCATCTGTTGATGAACATTTGGGTTGCTTCTACCTCTTGGCTGTTGTGAATAATACTGGAATGAACATGGATATGCAAATATCCCTTTGAGATCTTGCTTTGAATTTTTTCAGTTATGTACCCAGAAGTGTGATTGCTGGAACATATGGTAATTTTATTTTTAAATTTTTGAGAAAGTTCTATACTGTTTTCCATAATAGCTGCACCATTTTACATTCCCACCAACAATGCACAAGGGTTCCAACTTCTCTGCATCCTCACCAACACTTGTTATTTCCTGTTCTTTTGACAGTGGCCATCCTAATGGGTGTGAGGTGATATCTCATTGTGGTTTTGGTGTTTGCATTCTTCTTACAATTAGTGATTTTGAGGATCTTTTCATATGCTGTTGGCCATTTGTATATCTTTTTTGGAGAATTGTCTGTTCAAGTCCTTTAGCCATTTTTCTTTGGATTATTTTGTTGTTGTTGTTGAGTTGTAGAAGTTCTTTATGTATTCTGGATATTAACTCCTTATCGGATACATGGTTTGCAAATATTTTATCCCATTTCACAGGTTGCCTTTTCACTCTGTTGATTGTTCCCTCTAATGAGCAGAAGTTTTTTTTAGTTTGATGTAGTTCCACTTGCCTATTTTTGCTTTTGTTGCCTGTGCTTTTGAAGTCACACTCTAGAAATCATTACCATTTGATATCCATAAGCTTTTCCCTTATATTTTCTTCTAGGAGTTTTATAGTTTTAGGTCTTGTGTTTAGGTCTTTAACCCTTTTGAGTTAGTTTTTATATATGGTGTGAGGTAAGGGTCCAACTTCATTCTTTTGCTTGTGGATATTTAGTTGTCCCAACATCTTTTGTTGAAGAGACTATCCTTTCCTCACTGTGTAGTCTTGGCACCCTTGTTGAAAATCATTTGGCCATATAAGCAAAGGTTTATTTCTGGTCTCTCTATTCTGTTCCATTGGTCCATTTATCTGTCTTTATGCCAGTACCACAACATCTTGATTACCATTGCTTTGTAGTATATTTTGAAATCAGGAAGTGTGAGGTCTCCAATTTCACTCTTCTTTTTCCAGATTGTTTTGGCTATTTGGTCCCCTGAGATTCCATATGTGTTTTATGATATTTTTTCTATTACTGCAAAAAAATACCATTGAGCTTTTGATAGGGATTGCATTGAATCTATACATCACTTTGAGTAGTATGAATATTTTAACAATATTATGTCTTCCAATCCATGAGGATAGATTCTTTCCATTTATTTGCATCTTCTTTGATATTTTTGGCAACTTTTTGTAGTTTTCAGTGTAAAAGTATTTCATCTTCTTGGTTAAGTTTATATCTAAGTATTTTATCCCTTTTGATACTATAGTAAATGGGATTATTTTCTTAATTACTTTTTGGATTGGTCATTGTTAGCGTATAGAGATGCAACTGATTTTTGTATGTAGATTTTGTATTCTGCAATGTTGTTGAATTAATTTATTAGTTTTAACATTTTTTGTGTGGAAGCTAGGATTTCTACATATAAGACTATGTCATCTGTGAACAGACATGATTGTACTTCTTTCTTTCTGGTTTGCATTCCTCTTATTTTGTTTTCTTCTCTAATTTTCTTCTTCTGGCTAGGACTTCCAGGACTATGTTGAATAGTAGTGGTGAGAGTAGACATCTTTACCTGATCTTAGAGGAAAAGTTTTCAGTCTTTCACCATTGAATGTGATTAGTTGTGGGCTCTTCATATATGGCTTTTATTATGCTGATTTTATAATGTTGATTCCTTCTATTCCTAGTTTGTTGAGGATTTTTTCATGAAAGCGTATTGAATTTTGTCAAATGTTTTTCTACATGAATTAAGGTGATCATGTGGATCTTGTCTTTCATTCTGTTAATGTGGTGTATTACACTGAGTTTCATATGTTGAACCACCTGTGCGTTCCGGGTATAAATCCTACTTGGTTATGGTGTATAATCCTTTTAATGCACCCTTCAATTTGGTTTGCTAGTATTTTGTTTGGGATTTTTGAATCAATATTCATCAGGGATATTGGTCCATAGTTTTCTTTTCTTATATCTTTTTCTGGTTTTGGTATCAGACTAACGCTGGCCACATAGAATGAGTTTGAGTATGTTCCCTCCTCTTCTAGATGTTGGAAGACTTTGAGGAGGATTGGTATTAATTATTCTTTAAATGTGTGGTAGAATTCTCCAATTAAGCTATCCGGTTCTGAGATTTTTTGTTGTTGGAGGTGTTTGATTACTGATTCAATCTTCTTACTAGTTATGTCTGTTTAGATTTTTTATTTCTTCATCATTCAGTCTTGGTAGGTTGTAGGTTTCTAGAAATTTATCAATTTCTTCTAGGTTATCCATTTTTTGGGGGAATATAATTGTTCATAGTAATCTCTCATAATCCTTTTTATTTTCATGGCATTAGTTGTAATGTCCCCTCTTTCATTTCTAATTTTAGTTATTGGAGTCTTCTATATTTTTTTGTTAGTTGGTTTAGTTAAGGCTTTGTCAGTTTTGTTGATCTTCTGGGGAAAAAACCCAACTCTTGCTTTTGTTGATTTTTTTTTGGTTGCTTTTCTACTCTCTATTTCTGTTCTAATCCTTATTATTTCCTTCCTTCTGCTAAATTTTGGTTTAATTTGTTCTTTTTATAGTCCCTTGAGATGTAAAGTTAGGTCATTGATTAAATTTGTTTCTTTGATTGGGCTATGTTTCCCTGTTTCTTTCTATGCCTTATTATCTTCTGTTGGGGCTTTAGCATTTGGAAAATAAGCCACTTTTCCCAGTCTTTGTGGTTTGGTTTAATACAGAGAGAACTTTTTCCAATCAGCCTGGCTAGAGATTCTGGAGACCTCTTAAGCCTTTTCTGGGGATGCATCCTCTCCCGGCTTGTGCATGTAATCTCCTAATTGAAAAAGTTTGCTGGATTTTACTTAGGAGCCCACCTTGGTATCTGCCTGTGGTACTGCAGACCCTAGTGCATGTTGATTGCCTTTGTTCTCAGTGGCCAACCTAGTGCCCTGTTCCTGTCAGCACTTAGATTCAGACAAGACAGAAACCAGTCTCTCAAGCAGCCTCTGGAAAAGTCAGAATGTTGGGTATACATTCCACTCTTCTGTTTCTCTCCCCCAGGAGAAGTTGAGAGTTGGGAGTTTTCTCCCAATCACACCATGCTGTGTTGGGGGAAGGGGCTCTGGTGAGTGGGTGCCATGAATTTTCCTACTGGGCTTCGATTCAGTTGGTTCATGCTCACTGTAGTACAGGAAACTCTTAACTGCTTTCTGGATTTCTTATAAAGGCATTTGGTTCTTGTGTTGTTGTTAAATCAGCTTCTCCAGTCAGGGAAGCAGGGTCTGGGGCTTCTTATTCTGCCATCTTGCTGACGTCACTCCTTGGAAGTTTCTTTAGTAAAGATTTACACATGGCAGATGCTGTCAGGTTGTATTTGGCTTTGTTTGTTCTTGAATGAATATTTAACTATATATTGAATTCTAGGGTGATATTTTCTCACAACTCTTTGAAGATACCATTCCACTCTGCATTTCTAATGATGCTGTTAAGTTTGTTTAATTGGCATTCCTTGGTAGGTGATCTATCTCTGGCTACACTTAAGTTTTGCTGTTTGTATTTGTTGTTCCTGAATTTTACTGAAATGTATCTAGGTGTGGATTTCTTTTGTTTACCAAGACTTATTTGCTGTGCTTTATGAATATGAAAATTCATACTTTTCATCAATTCTGGAAAATTCTCTTAATTTTTTGAGTAATGCATTTTCCCCATTCTCTTTTTCTTGCCTTTTGGAAGGATGCTAGAATTCTTACTGTATCTTCTATATTGCTTCAGTTGTCACACTTATTTTTTATCACTTTTTGCCTTTGTGCTGCATTCTGAGAAAATTATCCAGCTCTATGTAGTTCACTAATTTAGTTGTGCCTAATTGGCTATTTAACCCATCTATTGTGCTTTTAATTTCAGTATTCATTGAATATTCGTATATAGAAATTCTAGTTGATTATAAAACCAACCTGAAAATTGTTGACGATCTTTTTTTCCCTAACCATATTTTCAATATCTTTTCTGGTTAACATGCCCCAATATACTGCTTTTAAAAGGTGATGTCTGATAATGCCAACATTTAAAGTCCTTAAGGGTCTAATATGCTACTTTTTCTTCTGATTCTTGAGGTAGGACTTATTTTCTCATGACTTGTAATTTTGGAATATCAACTAATATTTGGCTGATAATCTATGGGTGTCCAGTGAAACCTGGGATGTAGTTACCTTTCTAGCATGGGTAATTTTTTTTTCTGGAATAAGATCTTGGGATGTTATCAACCCAGGGTCACTTTAAATTAATTTCTTAGTATGAGGTTTCCCTGGCCACAGAGGTAGTATAAATTCAAACCCCAAACCGGTTTGCCAGTAGGCCTTTCCTCCCTTTCCCTATTTTCAGGTCAACTCAGTCACAACTGGCCCACTGGAGAAATAGTCTCACTACATCCTTCTCTTTATATCGATCCATTATTCCCCAAAGGCTTCAATCCCTTGATCTGCTCACATCACATGTCAGTTAACCTGAGCAGCCGTAAAATGATCACTCAACATTTAAAGACTCATGATAGCAAGGAGGGAGCCAAAAGTTAAATTCAACCTCAAATATTTTGTTAGAGCAGCACATTTTTACGTTTCCAATTTGAATGTCTTCAAACGTCTTTAATTATTCACAAAAATGAATTGAGTGTTTTTTATGTGCCAGGTACTACCCTAGGCATTGGGTAACCAGTAGTGAAATAAAGAGATAAAACAAACAAAAAACTCATGGGCTTCACATGCTGGAGGAAGAAGGGCTTTCTGTTCTCAGTGCAATCAGGAATAAGCTTTTCAGTTCAAAATTAAAATGCCTCTCCCTTGCAACCAGTGTGAATGTCAGCAGCCAGATATTGCTCAAAAGACAGTGGGACAGTGTTCCTCTCTGTTTCCGGGAAGGGTGCTGGGTTAGCTGGGTCTGCCATGGAGCACTCCTCAGCTCTCAATCAGAAAACTGATGGATACTACAAAAAATATCCAGAAAACTTTGTTTTTTTCCCCCAGAGACAGGGATAAATCTCACTTCAGCCCAACATGTAGCTCTCACAAATGGCTACTTATACTATCAGGAATTACTTTTCTTATCCACTGCCGGGAACAGAAATTGCCAAACTTTAGAGTGGGTAAGAATCATCTGCTTTCCTCAAGTGCTTAGAGTCTTGCAGTTAGCTAAAAACAAGCATATAAAACATTTAGTGGGCAATTACACCTGAGATTAAAAAATGCAGCCTGAACCAGCAAAGCAAGATCTGTGGTGTTGGGCCAGCAGAACAGGCTTCTTTGTGGAGCTGAGATGGATTGTGACTTACGTTATCATATGATTTGTGTAAAAGTCACCTGACATCTAGGGCCACACCAAACTCACGGGCCACTCTCCAGACTATCAAACTGAGGGCAAGACCCAGCAGCCACGTCCTTTTTGGGGAGAATCTAGGCTTGCTTTCGCCAACATAACTCATTAAGTTTTTGTTTTGATTTTGCAGATTGAGAAGAGAGATGAGCTACATCACCAATTCCAAAAGTTTTTGACTGAGATAAGCAAACCCACTAATGATTATGAACTGAAAATAGCCAACAGGCTATTTGGAGAAAAGACCTACCTCTTCCTTCAGGTAAGTTTTGCTGTGTCTACCACATCTGTGAGTGGTATTCATGAATGGCCAAATGGCCCTGTTAGGACTGTGGGTTCTGGAGGCACGCTGCCTAAGTTGACTGCCTGGCTTGGCCCACATCACTGGGTGTGACCTCTGCCTGTTCTCCAGATGTCCAGGCCTTTTGGGAGCTGTTTAAAAATCCTGGCAGTCTAAATCTGATTTTTGCTTTAACCCAGTGCACCTTCCTAAAAGTGTGCATGGAAGTACTCAAAGTGATTTTCTCAGGTCCTAAAAAATCCCTGCTTACAATATGAATCATCTTGATGGACAGATAAATTTATGTAGCGATGTAGCAGTGAATAAACTGAATTTTCAACCTCTTTCTATTCCTTTCCTGTTTCTCCTAAAGAAATACTTAGATTATGTTGAGAAATATTACCATGCTTCTCTGGAACCTGTTGATTTTGTAAATGCAGCTGATGAAAGTCGGAAGAAGATTAATTCCTGGGTTGAAAGCCAAACGAATGGTAGGGTATGGTCATTCATCATATAAATACTTTTTGAGTATCCACTGTGAGTGAAGCCCTGTGCTTAACACTGCATGGGATGCCAGGGTGGACAAGCCTTGAGAGGGGACTCAAGATGGATTTTGCAGGGTTGGAAAGACAGGGCTGGGCATGCGGGGTGTGGGAGAGGGCACTGAAGATAGTGGAATGTTCTCAGCAAATGTGGAAAGAGCCAAAGGGAACCAGGGAGGGGACCACAGGAAGCCAACTTCATGGAAACATTTAGTGGAGAATTATTTGCACGTGGCTGTGGATTGCAATATCTTTGGGGATCTGAAATTAGGCTCATGTCTGTCTTGGGTTCACATTCTTTCCTTTATATCAGAGCCTTTCTTTCTGAGTCTGAGTCCCTAAGTGAAAATGTCATAGAGGGTTTCCTTTCTCTTTGTCAGGTGAGAAACATTCAGCTCTCCCATCAAACCCTGCCTTTGCTACCTATAGCTGGGGCTGCCTGGGCCTCATCTCCACTTGAGCATCATGCGGGGATGATGACAACTTTCAGCCCCCTCCACAGCACAGGACTTGACAAAGCTCTCCCTTCGTCCTCCCCTCCTCATCCCCTGGTATGAGCCAAACACAAAAGAAATACTAGAAAGGAATGTTAATACGGAATACACAGTAGGGAGTGATAGCTGATACTTTAGTATTAGAGTTTCAAATTACATTTTTCATTCCAGTTATCAGGGAGGCATCTATTATTTCAGAATGCATTTTTTTTCTTTACACTCAGTGCAAAGGAAAAAAAAGGTGTCTATCAAAGGGTTGGTCAAAGGCAGTATTCTTCAGAATTTAGTGTGGGATGGGCTAAACCCCGAGAAAAAAACATCAGCTCTTTTTCTAGTAAAATAAGTTTTCTCTACCTCATGTGGTAACTATGTTGAATGGGTAAAAATAATATAGCTGACACTTACCGAGTGCTTATTATGAGTCAGGTAGTGTTCTAAGTGCTTTACATGTATTAAATCATTTACTCCTTTCAACAACCCTTTGAGGCAGGTTTTATTCCTGTTTTACAGATGTGGAAACTGAGGCACAGAGAGCTTAAATAACTTGCCCAAGATTCCTCAGCTGATAAATGGCAAAACTGGATGCTAACAGAGGCAATCTGATCCCAGAGCCTGAACTCTTAACCATCACACCTCAATTTATCCCATGGGATAAACAGGCCATGGGCAAGGTGAAAATGTCCCTACCGGTTCTGCCAGTGAACATTTTGTTGGCAAGGTGTTCAGGTGCCGACCTAGCTGAGTTTGCAATGATCAGTCAAGTCCATCTGCATTGTATCTGCCGTGCATATTACTTATAATTTTGAAGATGGGCCAATTTTTGTTGTTGTTTGTTTGCAGAAAAAATCAAGGACCTGTTTCCAGATGGCTCTCTAAGCAGCTCCACTAAGCTGGTGGTGCTGAACATAGTTTATTTTAAAGGGCAATGGGACAGGGAGTTTAAAAAAGAAAATACCAAGGAGGAGGAATTTTGGCTGAATAAGGTATGATCCTTTATTTATGTGATGTGCTTACACATGGAATGTAAAATCTAAAGTCATATTTGAGCAAATGTACATGGAGAATAGCAAATGCTGATTCTGAGGCTCTGATCTTGAGCATGATTTTAGATGGAGCTAATTATTTTGGTGCACTAATGTGGTTGTCCTATGTCTCTTTTGACACCGCGTGCCCTGTGACTTTGTTGCAGACTACAAGTAAATCTGTGCTGATGATGACACAGCGCCATTCCTTCAAATTCACTTTCCTGGAAGACTTGCAGGCCAAAATTCTGGGGATACCATATAAAAACAATGACCTAAGCATGTTCGTGTTGCTGCCCAATGATGTAGATGGTCTGGAGAAGGTAAAACCTTACATCGTCACAATCTTGCTTTCATTTCCTGAGACTTTGCATCCAAAGCTTGCTCTGGGTGAGCCTGGAAACAGGGCTTCTGATTTGGAGCTGGTGTCTGGCAGACCCAAGTAGAAAATATTTCTCACTCTGTGCAACAGTTACAGATGGATGTCTAAAGAACATTAAATTTTCTTGGTTTTATTGAGAACAACCAATACTAATACATTTGGGGCTGAGCTAAAATGGACATTTAAGGTCACACGGGAGTTCTAAAGATCACCTACCATTCTTAGAAATGGTTGATCTCTATGGACACTCTTCCCCATAAAAAAATTACATGTGCACATATACAGCAAATACTGCATACTATTCAGTAGGCTTATTGGACCTTCTGAATTTCTTTCTTAGATCTTTAATTTTTTTAAAGACTTCATTTTTTTAGAGCAATTTTAGGTTTACAGCAAAATTGAGAGGAAGGTACAGAGATTTCTCATATACCTCCTGCCCCTCACACATGCATAGCCTCCCCCCTAATCAACATCACTTACCAGAGTGGTACTTTTTTTTTTTTTAACCAAGGATAAACCTACATCAACACAGAATAATCACCCAAAGTCCATAGGACGCTTAATCTTAAACCCCTTGATTTAGTCCCACCCACTTTGCAGTTAAAAATTGACATGGCAAGAGAGTGACATCAGCATCATGGCAGAATGAGCTCTTTGCTCAGACTCTCCCCCCTAAGGGGAGAGTATCTCCCCTTGTATCTCCCCCCTAAGATACAAATGAAAGGACACTGATAAACCAACAGAAGACATTCACACAATACAATAGACATCTGAGAGACACACACAGCCATATATCTGAAGGTGGAGGTGCTGGACCCCTGGGAGGAAGTGGAAGGAGGTAAGGGGATCTTCTGTTCCTCCCTGGCAGCAACCTACAGTGCAGGATCATGCACAGCACCGAGAAGAGAGGAGGGGAGAGGCAGCTCTCCACAGAATGTCTTCGCTCTCTGAGTTGCCTCCTAGCCATGGGAAAGTTCCACACAGAGGAGGCTAAGCAAATGTGGGGGTGTCTTCATCAAGCTAGCCCCAGGAGGGCAGATAGTGAGGGCAGAGTGAGAATGCTGCTGGGATCGATCATGGGAAAGCAAGTGCCCGTCCCTGCACCTGGTGCACCAGCTTGGCCAGTTGGCCAGAGTAAGGACCTTCACCAGAGCACATGAGCATACATTTGTAAAGCAGCAGCGGTGAGCAGGCAATTGCAGACGGTCCCTGGCAGCATAGATTCCAAAGGACAGGCATAGACGCCAGGGATTGTGGTGGGCTCAGAATACACAGCTCCTGCCCATCCCCAGCCCCTGCCGGTTGGATGCAGGTGAAATCTGTGTCCAGAAACTACCACTATGCAGAGGTACAAATCCACCCCATCAAATAGTATGAAGCGGTTTATTAATACTCCAGACCAGAAGGAAAATGAAAATTACCCAGAAATCAATCCTGAAGGCACAGAAATTTACAATCTAAATGACAGAAAACTCAAAAAGCTGTCATAAAAAAACCCAATAAGTTACAAGAAGATTCAGAAAGACAGTTCAATGAACTCAAGAATAAAATTAATGAACAGAGGGAATTCTTCACAAAAGAGGTTGAAACTATAAAAAAAAAAACCAATCAGAAATGTTGGAGTTAAAAAACACAATAAATGAGATAAAGAAAAATCTGGAGTCCTTGAATAACAGAGCTGATATTATGGAGGACAGAATTAGCAGTTTGGAGGAGAGAAATATAGAAATGCTTCAGATGGAGGAGGAGAGAGAACTAAGACTAAAAAGAAATGAAGAAATTCTCTGAGAAATATCCGACTCAATTAGGAAATGCAACATAAGGATTATAAGTATTCCAGAGGGAGAAGAGAGGGAGAAAGGAACAGAAACCTGTTCAAAGACACATAATAGCTGAGAAATTCCCAAAGGGGAAGGAGCTGGAATTACAAGTGAAAGAAGCTAATAGAATTCCTAATTACATCAATTGTAAAAAGACCTTCACCAAGGTATAAAACTTGCAAAAGTCAACAACAAACAAAAAATATTAAGGGCAGCAAGGCAGAAGAAAATAACTTACAAGGGAATCCCTAACAGGCTTGCAGCAGATTTCTCAGCAGAAAATTTACAGGCTAAGAGAGAGGGGAATTATGTACTTAAAATTCTGAGAGATAAAAACTTTCAGCCAAGAATACTCTATCCAGTGAAAATATCTTTCAGATACGGTGGAGAAATAAAAACTCTCCCAAATGAACAAAATCTGAGGGAGTTCGTTGCCACAAGACCCCTGCTACAAGGAATGATCAAGAAGGCCCTCATACTTGGAAAAAAAAAAAAAAGAAAAGAAAAGAAAGGTTTTACAAAGCCTTGAGCAAGGAGATAAATAGGCAGACAAAATCAGAAAATTGTAGCTCTCTATCAGAACAGGTTAGCAAACACTTAATTCTAAACATTAAAGATAAAGGGAAGGAAAACATCAAAAATAACTATAATCTCATCATTTTAACCACAAACTCACATCACAAAATGGAATAAGTTGTGACAACAATAACTTAGAAGGGGAAGAGGTAGGGGATGGTACCTGCTTAGAGTAAGGAATTAAGAGGCTACTAGAAAATGGACAGTCTCATTTATGAGACTTTTATACAAAACTCATGGTAACGACTAAACAAATAGTCAGAACAGAGACATAAATGATAAATAAATAGAAAACTGAAAAAACCGTCATAGAGAACTACCAAACTGAATTGGCAGTCCAAAATACACCAGATAAGAAACAAGGGAAGTACAGAACAACTGGAAAACAAGTGATAAAATGGCAGCATTAAGCCCTCATATACCAATAGTCACTCTAAATGTAAATGGATTGAATTCTCCAATCAAAAGACACAAAGTGGCTGGATGGATTAAAAAACAAGACTCAACAATATGCTTCAGGAAAGACAAACACAGGCTCAGAGTGTAGGGGTGGAAGATGATACTCCAAGCTAATGGCAAGCAAAAGAAAGCAGGTGTTGCCATACTTACATCGGACAAAGTAGACTTCAGGATGAAACAGGGAATGAGAGACAAAGAGGGGCAGTATATAATGATAAAATGATTAACAAACCTAAAAGAAGATATTAACAACATCACAATAATAGTAGGGGACCTCAACATCCCACTTACATCAGTGGATAGATCATTCAGACAGAAAGTCAACAAGGAAATAGTGGAATTAAACAAAAAACTAGACCAGATAGACTTAAGAGATACATATAGAACACTCCATCCCAAAACAGCAGAATACACAGTATTCTCAAGTGCACATGCAACATTCTCAAGGACAGACCATATGTTGGGAAACAAGGCAAGACTCAATAAATTTAAGAAGATTGAAATCACATCAAGCATCTTTTCCAATCAAAATGCTATTAAACTAGAAACCAACTACAAGAAAAATGCTGGGAAAGTGACAAATATGTGGAGATTAACATGCTACTGCACAACCAATGGATCATTAAAGAAATTAAAGGAGAAATCAAAAAATATCCGGAGACAAGTGAAAATGGAAATACACCATACCAACTCATATGGGATACAGCAAAAGCGGTCCTAAGAGGGAAGTTCATAGCAATACAGGCCCACCTCAACAAACAAGAAAAATCTCAAATAAGCAATCTTAAACTACACCTACCAGAACTACAAAAAGAAGAGCAAACAAAGCCCAAAGTCAGCATAAGGAGGGGAATAATAAAAATTAGAGCAGAAATAAATGAAATTGAAACCAAAAAGGCAGTAGAAAGGATCAATGAAACTAAGAGCTGGTTCTTTGAGAAGATAAACAAAATTGACAAACCTTTAGCCAGAATCACTAAGAAAAAAAGTGAGAAGGCTCAAATCAATAAAATTAGAAAGGAAAGAGGAGAAATTACAAGAGATCCCACAGAAATACAAAGGATTATAAGAGAATACTATGAAAAACTATATGCCAACAAATTGAACAATCTAGAAGAAATGGATAAATTCTTAGACTCATACAACCTTGCAAAACTGAATCAAGAAGAAATAGAGAATCTGAATAGACCAATCACAAGTAACAAGATTGAAACAGTGATCAAAAACCTCCTAAAAAACAAAAGTCTAGGATCAGATGGCCTCTCTGGAGAATTCTACCAAATATTCAAAGAAGATTTAATGCCTATCCTTCTCAAAATATTCAAAAAAATTGAAGAAGATGGAACACTTCCTAACTCATTCTATGAAGCCAACATCACCCCAATACAAAAACCAGACAAAGGCAACACAAAAGAAGGAAAATTACAGGCCAATATTGCTAATGAACATGGATGCAAGACTCCTCAACAAAATATGGGCAAACTAAACACCTTAAAAGGATAATATGCCATGATCAAGTGGGACTTATACCAGGGATGGTTCAAGATCTGCAAATCAATCAATGTGATACACCACATAACAAAATGAGGAATAAAAATCACATGATCATCTCAGTAGATGCAGAGAAAGCATTTGACAAGACCCAACAATGATTTGTGATAAAAACTCTCAATATAATGGGTATAGAAGGAAAGTACCTCAATATAATACAGGCCATATATGACAAACCCACAGCCAGCATCATACTTAATGGTGAAAAACTGAAAGGAATCCCCCTGAGAACAAGAACAAGACAAGAGAGCCCATTCTTACCACTCAACATAGTATTGGAGGTTTTGACCAGACCAATGAGGAAATAAAAAGAAATAAAAGGTATCCAAATTGGAAAGGAAGAAGTGAAACTCTCCCTGTTTGCAGAAGACATGATTCTATATATAGAAAACCCTCAAGAATCCCCCAGAGAACTATGAGAAATAATCAAAAACTACAGCAAAGTTGCAGGGTACAAAATCAACTTACAAAAATCAGTTGCATTTCTATACACTAATAATGAAGAGCTGAAAGAGAAGTCAAGAATACGATCCCATTTACAATCCCAACAAAAAGAATAAAATATCTAGGAATAAATTTAACCAAGAAGGTGAAAGACCTAGACAATGAAGACTATAAGACATTATTGAAAGAAATCAATGATGACGTAAAGAAACGGAAAGATATTCCATGCACATGGATTGGAAGAATAAACATAGTTAAATGTCCATACTACCTAAAGCAATCCAAGATTCAATGCAATCCCAATCAGAATCCCAATGCATTCTTCACAGAAATAGAACAAAGAATCTGAAATTTAATTCAAAATGGATTACAGACTTGAAGGTATGATGTGAAACCATAAAACCCCTAGAAGAATATATAGGCAGTACACTCTTTGACATCAGTCTTGTCATACCATACCTTGACATAGCATGTCTATTTGCGAAAGGGAGACAAAAGAAAAAATAAACAAATGAGGACTTCATCAGACAAAAGAGTTTCTGCAAGGGAAAGGAAATCAGGAAGAAAACAAAAAGAAAACCCACCATGTGGGAGAAAATATTTGCAAATCATATATCCAACAAGGGGTTAATCTCCAAAATATATAAAGAACTCACACAACTCAACAACAAAAAACTAAACAACCTGATCCAAAAATGGGCAGAGGATATGAACAGACATTTTTCCAAAGAAGATATACAGATGGCCAATAGGCATGTGAAAAGATGTTCAACATCGCTAATCATCAGGGAAATGCAAATCAAAACTACACTGATATATCACCTTACACCTGTTAGAATGGCTATAATCAATAAGACAAAAAATAACAAATGTTGGAGAGGATGTGGAGAAAAGGGAACCCTTATATGTTGCTGGTGGGAATGCAAACTGGTGCAGCCACTATGGAAAAGAGTATGGAGATTTCTCAAAATATTAAAAATAGAAATACCATACGACTCAGCGATCCCACTACTGGGTATTTATCCAAAGAACTTGAAATCAACAATTCAAAGTGACTTATGCACCCCTATGTTCATTGCAGCATTATTCACAACAGCCAAGATGTGGAAGTAACCCAAGTGCACGTCGACTGATGAATGGGTAAAGAAGATGTGGTATATATACACAATGGAATGCTACTCAGCCATAAAAAAAGACAAAATCATCCTATTCGCAACAACATGGATGGACCTTGAGGGTATTGTGTTAAGTGAAATAAGCCAGACAGAGAAAGACGAACACTGTATGATTTCACTCATATGTGGAAGGTAAACAAACACATGGACAAAGAGAATAGATCAGTGGTTACCAGAGGGGAAGGGGATTGGTGGTGATCATAAGCAGTAAAGTGGCACATTTATGTGGTGATTGACAAATAATAATGTACAACTGAAATTTCACAACGTTGTAAACTATTGTGACCTGGATAAAACAAAACAACAAAAAAATTGATATGGCTAGTATCCTCTATTTTTGAAATCAGGAAGGCTTTGTTTCAAATCCCTATTCCTCTATTTAATAGCTTTCTGTCCTTTGAAGCTTAACTTCCTTGAAGCTCAATATTTTCCCATCTATAAAATGGGCTCCACAGTTCTTAATGTATAGAGTTGTTGTCATGATTAGAAAATATCTAGAAAAATATATATAGAGAGATCAGCACCCAGTATTGTAATAATATGGCATATATCATTTATTGAGTGCTTTCCATGTACTGGACCCATTCTAGGAGAGATATATATATGGTTTCCACGTCCTAGACCCATTCTAGGGGCTATCTTAGAATAGGCCCAGGACATGGAAAGTAGTCAATAAATGATAGATGCTATATTATTATAATATTGGATACAGTTCTGTTACTGTGAAACATCTCTAGTGGCATATGTTGAAAAATATTTTGTCACAGCTAAATGGCAGTATGTATGAAAGCTTTAAGAATATTCATACTCTAACTCAAAAACCCCAGTTGTGGAAACTACCCTAGGGAAATAATGCAGAAGAATTAAATTGCCTTTCTGAGTGAAATCAGTAATTTCTGCATAAATATACTAGGATACCTAGTTTGAAATTAATAATAATAATAATAATTTTTGTATCCACAGTGTCTATCAACATTTATCATAATTCTTAATACATACTGGATGATTGTAAAATGAATGAATGGATGAATGTCGGGTAAAATTTATCAACTTGGTGAAAAAAAGTTTAAATTATAACAAGTAAAATGGACATTCAGTGTGATGACAACTATGTAAATATATATTATATACTATATCACATATTATAATATAAATAATTAATTATAACAGACAATTATATAATATGTAATGTATAATATATTTATAAATTATGTATTAAACCTGAATATAAAGACTAGAGGGGAATAGTAAAAAGTGAAATAATATGTATTAGATTGATAGAACAAGAAATGACTTATTTCTTATCTTCAAAAGTTTATTTAGTACTATTGAGTTTTCACATATACACAGATAATTTAAACAGAGAAATATGACAAGTGCCTGCTCTATATAAAGACAAGAGTCTAGTGAAACAAAATTTCTAATTTTATTTGTTACTAAAATTAATAATTTCTTACTTATAAAATCAATATTGCACCCTTTCAAATTTGTATTGATAATCATGCTCTTCTTCCCTCTCTTTTTTTTTCTCAATAGATTATGGATAGACTAACTCCCGAGAAATTGGTAGAGTGGACTAGCCCAGGGCATATGGAAGAAAGGAATGTGACTTTGCATTTGCCCAGGTTCGAAGTGGAGGATAGTTACGATCTGGAGGCTGACTGGGCGGCCATGGGGGTGGAGGATGCCTTCAGTGAGCACACAGCTGACTACTCCGCGATGTCCTCACGCTCAGGGCTGGATGTCCAGAAGTTCCTGCACAGGTCCTTTGTGGTGGTAACTGAGGAAGGTGTCGAGGCTGCAGCTGCCACTGGCGTAGGCTTTGCTGCCGCATCAGCGCCAGTTTATGAAAAGTTTCACTGCAATCACCCTTTCTTGTTCTTCATCAAGCACAATGAGTCCAACAGCGTCCTATTCTTTGGCAGATTTTCTTCTCCTTAGGACAGTCATTGCCTTGGCAGAAAACTGGTATTGGAGTATTAACACTACTGTGAAATAGCCCATTCTTTTAAAATTTCTTTTCCTGTCTTGCACTCTGTCTTACTAGCAAAATCAATGATTTAATGACTGTAATAGGGTGTGTATGCGTGTTTTTCATTTTCCTTAAAAGTGAAATGTCCTTTTGTTTGTGCCATGCATAAAGTGAGATAAATCAAAGTTCATTAATAATCTCTTGTTGATTTCTTCTGAAAGTAAATCAATGTAATGTAGTTTTGTGCACCAATGAAGAGAAGCAGTCTCTTCAGTAAAGACTATGGAGCAAGGGATATGGGGAGTCCCTCCAGTTCTAATATTTTGGCATGTTATGTAATACACAAGTTAAATAAAGCAATAATTTACTCAATTCATGTGTTGCTTTGTTCTTTCTCAGCAGATCGTGTTGCAAACTGCAAAAGGAAAGAAATTTTAGAAACATATTAGCAAAGCATAAATTAAAACCCAAATGTCGGGGCAAGATAAAACAATACACCAGATGGAAAAGATTCCCATATTTTTATCCTATATTCTAACAGAGTATATAATCCATTGTCTGTTGCGTAAGCATTTTGATATTGTGAAAAAAACATGGTATTTGAGAAGCTAAATATTGTAACTGATCAATGTTCCTACCCTGTCACTTTTCTAGGTGACAGTAAGTATTTGGAATGACTATTAGAGGAGTGAAGGTTTTCTCTGTTTTTTTTCCCATTTACATATTTCTGGTTATTTTGTTGGTGAGCTGTGGGTATTACCAAATGATATTTTCAAGAAGATGCTTTTTGAAAGGCTCTGAATCAATTGCTGATGCTCTGCACTGCAGGCCTGCTTTGCTTTTATATTTTCAGTTTTTAACAAGATCTCATTACTGACTTACTTTTTTACCAGCTCTAGTAGCTGTAATTTACCTACCATAAAATTCACACATTGTAATTTTACAATTTAATGATTTTTGGTAAGTTTCTAGAGTTGCGTGTCTCTTACTACAACCCAGTTTTAGAACAATTCCATCACCCTAAACTGTTTCCTATGGCTGTCCCACCCTAGACCCAGGCGACCACTGATCTGCTTGTCTGTATAAATTCTTCTTTTCTTTGACATTTCATATAAACAGATAATAAAGTAGGTAGTTTTTTGCATCTGTTTTCTTTCCTGAGCATGTTTTTGAGGTTTATTCTTCTTGTGGCATGTCCCAGGTGAATTCCTTTTTATTGCTAAATAGTATTCCATGTGATTGAAAAGATACTTTTTGTTTATCTGTTTACCAGCTGTGGACATTTGAATTGTTTCCCCTTTTTGGCTGCTGTGAATAGCGCTTCTATGAACATTTGAATAAAGACCTTTGTGTGGACATAAGTTTTTATATTTCTTGGGTGGATTCATAGGAATTGCTGGGTTGTATGATAAGTTATTTTTTAGCTTTTTAAGAAACTGTCAAACTGTTTTCCAGTGTGGCTATATAGTTTTACATTCCCACCAGCAAGTATAAAGGTTCTAGTTTCTCTACATTCTTGCCAACTTTCAGTATTGCGTTTATGCTGATAGCCATTCTAGTGGGTGTAAAGTGGTATCTCATTGTGGTTTTAATTTACATATACCTAATGACAAATTAGGTTGAATATTTTTCATGTGCTTACTTGCCATTTGTATGACTTCTTTGGTGAAATGTATTTTCAAATCATTTGCCCATTTTTGAATTGGGTTGTTTGTCTTCTTATTACTGAGTTGAATGAGTTCTTTTCATATCTGTCTATAAGTCCTTTATCAAATACTTGATATGTGAGTATTTCCTCCTAGTCTATGGTTTCTTTCAATTTTCTCGTTGGCGTATTTTAAAAAAATATAACAGCTTTTTGAGATATAATCTACATACTATAAAATTCACAATAAAGTGTACAATTCAGTGATTTTAGTATATTTAAAGAGTTGTGTAAACATCTACACTATCTAATTTTAGAACATTTGCAACACCCCCAAAAGAAACCCCACCCCCATTAACAGTCATTCCCCATTTCTCTCTCTTTCTGGACTCATGGAAATCATTATTCTACTTTCCGTCTCTATGGATTTGCCTATTTTGACATTTCCTATAAATGGCGTCATACAATATGCGGCCTTTTGTAACTGGATTCCTTCACTTAGCATAATATTTTCAAGGTTCATCCAAGTTATAGCATGAATCAGTACTTCATTCTTTTTTTGACTGAGTAATGTTCCATGGTACAAATATTTCAGATTTCGTTTATCCATTCATCAACTGATGAATATTTGTATTATTTCCAGTTTTTGGCTATTATGAACATTTTGTATGGACATATATTTTCATTTCTCTTAGGTATATACTTAGGAATGGAATTGCTGGGTCATATGGTATCTTTATGTTTATCATTTTGAGAAACTGCCAAATTGTTTTCCAAAGTAGCTGCCTCAGTTTACAATTCCATAGCAATGTATGAGGGTCCCAAATTCTACTCATCTTTGCCAATACTTGTTATAGTTTGTGTTTTTATTTTTAATTTTAATTACTATCCTAGTTATTGTGAAGTAGTATCTCATTGTAGTTTTATGGTATCTTTTTAAGTGCAATTAGAGTCTTATTTATCAATATTATCTTTGAAGAATCATGCTTTTGGTGTTGTATCTAACAACTCTTTCTCTAACTCAAGTATACAAAGATTTCCTCTTGTTTTCTTCTAGAAGTTGTATAGTTTTAACTCGTCCTTTTAGGTCCGTGGTCCACATGTGTGTGTGTAGTTTTTTTTTTTTTGTCTGTGGCATATGTGTATGCGTGTGTGTGGTGAGGTAAGTGTCTAAGTTTAGATTTTTTGAGTATGGATATATAATTGTCACAGTATCATTTCCTAAAAAGATAATCCTTTCTTCATTGAATTGTCTTGGGACCTTTATCCAAAATCAGTTAACATTAAATATAAGGTTATGTTTCTGGGCTCTCAATTTCATTCTGTTGATCTATATGCCTACTGAAATGCCAATACCACACTGTCTTGATTACTGTAAATTTATAATAAGTTTTGAAGTTAGGGAGAGTAACTACTTTGTTCTTTTTCAAAATTGTTTTGGTTATTCTAGGTCTTGCGCATTTTCGTATAAAGTTTAGAATTAGCTTGTCAATTTATTTAAAAAGCCTACTGGGATTTGATAGGAATTGCATTAAATTTATAGATCAATTTGCTTGACATTGAGTTTACCAATCCACGAATATCAAATATTGAATGTCTCTCCATTTATTTAGTAATTTCATTTCTTTCAACAATATTTTGTAGATTTCAGTGTAGAAATATTCTTTCAATGAATTTATTTTGATAATTTTTTGATGCTATTGTGAATGGAATTATTTTCTTAATTTGTATATCAAATCATTATGTTGTAAACCTTAAGTATATACAATTTTTATTAAAAAATAAAATTAAAACAAAAACAATAAAAAGCATAAATATAAGATATCCTAAGGGAATTTAAAAAATGAGGGAGTGTTAATATTTTGGGTATTTTGTTGAGTGATATTTTCTCATGCTGAAGAACTGCACCAGCTGAAGAACCTAGTCTTCCATATTCATAAAATCCCTGAGCATTTTGGACCAGACATCTTCCTCAGGCTTAGGATAGGAAGGCCAAACCAGCTCCTTCTGCTTCCGACCATCACCCAGATGACTATGCATTTTTTAGTTTATTTAGAAGGCAAGGAAGAAAGAGAGGAGGTGATGCGTCTTAGTTATGAGTAAAAAGCCTTTAGGAAGTGCGATGGCGCAAAACGCAGTGGGGATGGGCTGACAAGTAAACAGATATAATAGAGGTGTCACTAACACAACTGAGTTCAGGGCGGTGACCATTGTTTGCCCACCAGATGCAGACATGGGGCCTCCTCACTCCACACATCCTTGACCAAGTGTTGAAGATCTCCTTCTTTGGTTTTGCAAGTGTCCTCAATGGAGCCGGGCATGTCCACAAGCGGCAAAAGGATGATATTGCAATAAAACCAAGTGACACAATTGAGCCACATCCTTTTGGCAAACAGCAGAGGAGCTACCGGTTAAGCCCTCTCTGGTGCCAATTGGTGTCAATCTGTGTAAGGTTGCTAACCATAGTAACAAAGGCCCTTGAAAGGTAACATGGTCCAGTCTTGGCCAATCATTGTAACTCATACCTTCATCCACAGTAACCTGTATAAAGGGTGAGAATGTGGCCTGGGACTTCATATAAAGATGGGGGAGAGAAGCTGTCTTTCCTTGGGGGTCACTAGCTGGAATAAGGTAATCTAGGTATTAGCTGAAGTAAACACCATTCTTCTCATGATGTAGGAAACTTTCCTTTATATAGTAGGAGAAGATGAGATCAATACTGAGAAACAGTGCCAAGAAATAGAGACTATCTATCTATCTATCTATCTATCTATCTATCTATCTATCTATCTATCTTCCTTGAGAAAATCTGATCCACTTTGTTTTCACGGTTCCACCAGCAAGTGAATTCCTCTTGTGGTTTAAGCTAGTTTAAGCTATGGGCTTTTGGAAAGAATGTCATGGAGGTGAAGTACCCTTCTCATCACATCTCATGGGGGGCTTCCTGACATCTACATGACGTCACTCAGATGTTAACCTTGATCACTTGGTTAAGGTAGAGTTTGCCAGGTTTCTGCACTGTAAAGTTGCTATTTTTCCCTTTCCATGCTCTATAATCTTTGAAAGTGAGTCACTAAGTGCTGCTCATCCTAGTGGGGGTGGGGAGATTAAACTCCACCTCCTCCAAGGAGGGTATTGACGTGTGGTATTTGGGAGTTTTCTGTAGGGAAGATCAGAAGAGACTTCAAAAAGATTAATAGTTAATCAACTTTATTGAGACATAATTCACATAAAATAAAATGCCCCCATTTTAAGCCTAGAACTTGAGTTTTGATAAATGTATACATCCATGAAAACACCACCATATCCAAGATACAGAATATTTTCAACATCCCCCTGGAACACTGTTCTGCTTCCCAGTCAACCACCCCCATACAATCCCAGCCCAGGCAACTGCTGATCCATCTTCAATCATTTCAGGGTACACATGTCAGTTCTAGAGTTTCATTCAAATGGATTCAGATAGTGTGTCCTCTTTTGTGTCTAGCTTCTTTAGCTCAACACTGTGTTTCTGAGATTCATTAATGTTGTTGAGATATCAGTGGCTTGTTACTTTCTGTTGACAAATAGTATTCCATTGTATGGATAAACCACATTTTGTTTATCCATTTACCCATTGATAGGCTTTTGGTCTG